ATGTGATGAGTCTTAAAAATATCTCAGACCTGTTCTTCATACCCTTCAACAAATAAAAGCTTAAAACTGCGTAGGATCAATACAAAAAAACAGATTTTGACAAATAAGAAAATTGGGCTTTCAATACCAACTGTTAGCACCACATTATATAACTTTTTCACCTGTGTTTTGAATCAGTTTTTCCAGTTCAGTCAAAAGAAGGGTTGTGCTTCTTCCAGTTCTCGAATGCATTTCGATTTCGACATTATTAACATACTTTTTTTTTCTCCACTTCTGTCAAAGAGTCCATCCTTTCCAGTCATAAAACACAGATGAAGCTTCAAGACAAGACAAACCAAAAAACGAATTTTCAAAGAAACAGAACCTTAAAATCATGTTAAAACTCGGCCGTCCCTACACTTTCTACTGCGTTTGATGCAGTGGGTTTCTGTGCATACGTGTTGAGCCGCTCTTTTCAACCCCGTACTCACTTTTTTTCCAAAATTATTTTGCTACTTAATTCTATATGGCGCATTCTTACAATCTTTTTAAGCTGCGATAACGTTGTTGCCTTTACCAATTCGTTACTTAAAATAAAGTCAAAACAAAGTCGACTGCAACAACCAGCGAAAACTTTTTCACGGACAACGTAGAGAGCATTTATTATAAAGGAATAGGAACGATAATAGCCGATTTGTTTACAAAAACGGAATTTTTGCATTTGGTGGATGCACAAGCAAGGCACTCATCTAAAATGCAAAGCACGTGAAGACGTGCTGTTTTTATTGCCTCATAGAAAAATTTCAGAAATATTGGGCAAAACTACATCTATGTCTTCCGTAGTTCACTTATGAAACACATATAAATTTGAATAAAAAGTATAAGAGCTCAACGAAACCCTACAAATCAACAGATGTTAAATAAGGATTAAATCTACTCACTAAAAACAGAAGGGTTCCAGATGTTAGAAACTCCTCCGTCCAAAAAAATGTAGCAAGGAGAGGTGAAGAAAACTTTTCTTCTCATTTTCTTTTAAGAAGTACATCTTTCCCAGTCACAATACACAGCAAATTTCAAAACCCCAAGTCAAATTCAAACACACGACGTGTACTTTCTTCAGTCCTGATCTCTCGACTGAGCTACTGAAAGGCCTTGTCCAGCACTCCTTAGCTAAAATTTATCAAATGTGCCAACTCTCTGATGTCTTCATCGGCACCCTAACCACATTTTGTTTTGCAAAATCTAATCAAGAATCCGTTAAGATTAATTCAACACTTTATTAAACTTTGTGCCTATATAGTTTTTACCCTCTAAGATGGAAAATTTGCTTTCATAATTTCAAAAACCATGCATCATTTCATGCAAAATGTATCGGAAATAACCACTACTGCAGCTATCAACTAAGCGAGACGCTTTTTAAGCTGTCTTTTTTTTGCTATTTACTTTGAATTTTAATCCAGATCTCGCTTGCCTCACCTTTGATAAATTCAACTTACTCACGCAGTTCTTAACTTCCCGATGACATAATACTGAACCTCTTCCCTGACTTTTATGGCACCTCAGATGATAGCCTTACCGATGACGCCTCGGTGATCACCATTAATACATTAACATCAACCCGTTAAGTTCGGTCCGCCTTGTGCCACTGGTCACCATTCCCCTATATTTTGACTGTCGCGACAACGCATACAGTCTGACCACTTTCACAATGCACGCCTTTTAGCAGACATGGCGGTTGAAAAAAATCTGATCAAAAAGGACTCTACAGGTCTGCTCGGCATCTACCTACAGCGCATAGAATCTTCAAGAAGCTTTAAATGATTTTTTTAATTATTTTATCGATCAACAAACCTACGTATACTCAAAAAGCCGAAACTTCGCATTTATTTTCAGCCAAACAAAAAAATATCCAAAAACTATTAAAATTTTGAATAAAGATGTGTGTCGAGAGCAGGCTTGAAACGTCCCGGTTTCTAGTATTGCAGCCACAAAACAAACCCCTGCCGTTTGCAACATGCGCCATCAATAAAGGCACGTCGTGGAATACTATAAAAGACGAAAACTTCAGCATTAGAAAGCTAAAACGCACAAACGAAGTCTGAAATTATCAAAACAAGTGAATCAAGCAAAACCCAGAAAAACACGCACGAAAAAAGAAGGTAATTTAACAGTCAAAAGTATTCTTGAGAAGAGGCTCGGTAGTTTGCAGTAGTATTATGAAATACTCTTTAAGACTGTCAAGTTTCTGTATTCCTAAAGCCACTCTAAAGAACCAATAAATGAGTGACCCCTACGCATCCTCAGGCAGAATATCTTGTCCTACGTACACCACAAATCTGAATAATCACTGGAGAGGCAGCTGGTATTCAATATATTACATGCCAGCAGTCGTGTACTATCATGACGCTGTTCAAAAGTTGAAATCACCACTTAGCACAAGAACGTTAAGCGCTTTTCCAATGTATCGGTCTCAGACAAGGCACTCGTCAGAGAGCATGGCCCACCAGTTCACTGTAAGCTAAAAGGCTGACTCAAATTCAGAAAAGTGTTTTTAACTTCGGTTACCATGCAAGAATGATCAGATAAAATAGTCCAAAAGATCACTCCTCTTATCGGCTAAGAGTAGGCAAAAGCCAAAGTGGTTTCTTCAAATTAGACGTCAATATTCGAAAATCGCCATTCAAGTCACTTTGAAAAAATGCTCTCCAACAGACCACACCTTTCTTCAGTAGTTGGCTGAGGAATGGGGAAAATGCGCCGCAATAAAATCCCCACGCTCGCCAACAAAATGCTGCCACTGAGTGACTTCCGCACGAGCCACGTAGGGACTTATAATTCAGTGAAGTAACCACCGTTCTACTCCTCAGCTTTGCGAGAATTATGAGGAAAAAGGTTGTGCACGGAGCGCTGCTTCTCAGGATGACAGATGCAAAGCAATCTTTTACAAAGTTCCACGTCAACAGTACAAAAAAAGAACCCCAATTCCGAAAACAAGTGTAACTAAATAAAAAGAAATTACATAAGCGAATTCTCCTGGTTCTGAACACTGGGCATAAAATTTCTTTTTATCTAAGTCATTTTAACAGTTGTTTTACAAGCAGTCCATACGAAAAAAGTCAAAAAGTAATAAGAGCAACAAACCAAGCCGTAACACCAACGAACTTCAGTTTGAAAAACAGCGTGATGCGCTTCATAAACTGAAAAAAAAATAAACTGGGAAAGAGAATCAGTTTTTCAGAATGCATTACTTGACGGTCCGTTCAATAAAGACTACATACTAAGAATAAAAAAGACAGACAGTGCCAAGCAAACAGACGCAACTTAATAACAAACGGTAATGAATTTTAATTACTACCAGGCAGTTTCATCAAATACGGAATAAAAGACAACAGTTTCTGAACTTCTCAAAGGTCCATTTAAAAAAAAATGTCCAAGTGTAGTTCTTTCTAAAATGCAAACCAAAAATGAAACACCAGATAAAACCAAATAGCGATTTTTCAAAATAATTAAACCGACTGCTGCCAGGTTACAGTCAAATAATCTAAAACTCATTAAGCAATAAAGCTATTTTGACTGGTAAAGCCATTCTTTAGAAACCAGCCTGATAGGGGCAGTTCAATAGTTCGTTAAAACCAACAGTTTTCTGGAATCCAGCCTCTTTCGTGAATCAATTACGTACGCTGACTAATCAGTATAAAACAACAAAAAACAGGAAGCATATGATACATATATAAACCTTTAGTATCACTCTAAATATTGAACTTTTAGAATTTTGGGGCACCCTCTGGTTAAAATGAAGAACTAATATAAAATAAATGCAAAAACAACATAACCCGAGTGCAGAACAGTTCTTTCAACTCGTTACCTACACTCCCAGCTGTTCTAAACTAATTTATAGACCTTTTAAAAGCAAACATTTCTATGCATTATACCGTTAGAAGTAACACGAAAACACAAATAAACATCACACTGCAAGTACATAAGTAGCCCGCGCGTCAGTAATGACTCAAAACAACTGGTGTTTGCTGTAACTGTCACTGCATTACTTTACTAATGCTGACATCTCAATGAACCCCAAATTATAATTTGCGTCTGCCAAGAGTATTTCAAGCATAAATTTAGTTCGTAATTCAAGATAAACGTTCAACATCATTCATTCCTTTGAAATCCCAACAAATCAGCTAAGTTAAAAAGCCTTCTTTCCGCTCCGTGTTGGAGCACCAGAAATCAATAGCACTTCCAGAAACTAATGCCCAAAAATGGTTCTTTCTGACTGCTTTTTTTTTTTAATTTAGCCCAAAATCTCATTACTAAAGATTAATTTTTCTAACTTCAAATTTTCAAGCATTAAAAATATTACGTACAATTATAAATTTTTCAAAATCCCTTTTCTTACCAACTCTATGCCAGTGAGGACATCTAAAAACTTTTCTTACTCGTGAATAAAAGAATCTTAAACCAAAAAGAGTAAGAGTGCAAAAGGAAGCAGAGATAAGACAAGAACGAAGAAATAAAGTATGTTTTGAACAACAATAACCAAGCGGATTATACTGAACCAAAAGCTTGCAAAAAATAGTTAAATAATGGTCTAGCGGCATTCTAAGAGTGCCGATCGATAAGTTTTTTTGAGCTGCAAAATGGAACAGCTGTCTACTCGCTTTTTTTGCTCTTCAGATTTAAACCTCACAAAGTTCAAGCAAACACTTCTCCCATACCGAAGTTTTCTTGAAACATATTGTGCATTATCCTTCGCTTGCAGAAAACAATCTACTTTTAACCACTCGGCAAAACCTACGATGTCAAGAAAGAGAAAAAGAAAAAAAAACCGTTGCTTCACTAGCATCAACAACAATTTAGTCAATAAATTTAAACCGCAAATAGATAAAAAAATTAATTCGCGCGTAATACTAATACTAATCCTTTTTGATAGTCAAAAGTGGTAAAACAAACTTAATTCAGGATTAACAAAAAAAAATCTCGATATTAAAAATTAAAACCACCGTTCTAGCAAAAAATACTCAAAATAAGTAAACAAGCAAAAAACACAAATAAAAAATCAAGGAAACAAGTTTCTGAAGAACTATTACACAAGCTGTTTCCTAACGTATTAATATTGAATACATCTTCTTCCTCAACTTTCCTCCTACTTTTTTTCCTTCTTTTTCATCTTCCTCCTCGAGTCCCTACCAAACACTGTTCTCTTTACTACAATTAAATGTTAAAAAATGATGTTTGTTTCCCATTTTAAAACAGCTGCACATTATATATCTTCAAAGTCGACCTTTAAACCAAATGAAACGAACGTAGCCAGCACAAGACAGAA